AGGGGAATGATAGTGTATAATATGAATGGGTCCCATCCATTACGTTCTGCATGTAGTGAGTTGGTGGTTACAAGTTGTTAGTTTATTAGGGCTTCTATTAAGTTAGATTGATTGTATAAATAATCATCTCTTTCTTCTTTGTATGTGTGTGATTTTCTAATAAAAGTATGAAAGAATTTGTGTTCTCTCTATTATTCTTTCTTGTGTTTTCTTTTATGGCTATATTGTTATCTTAACACATCTGTCCCCACCTGACCTTAATAATATATATTCTCAACCGACTTTGATTCGACCCCAATTTTTAAAGTATAAATTTGACCCGACCTGATATAAAATAAGAACTTAATTAAAATAATAATATATTTTTAAAGAATTTACATTAATATGCTTAGTTCAGGTTGCGTTGGAGTTTTTTCACCTTCCACCCGAACCCGACCTTACCCTTGAAAAAATTTGATCCAACCTGATTTTTTTCAAATTAATCCTTTCAGATCGGATCGAGTCGAAATCAGTCGGACTCGGATTAAATTACCACCCCTAGGTAGAATATATTATAAATGTACCTTGATTGAAATCCAGCGTTTGAGCTAGACGGGATCATGGTTGTCTGGTTTAATGGTCGTCTTAAAGTAAGCCTCAGGAGGTTTGGGTTCCTCCTCGAACTTCTTACAGAGTGACATCAATGGCTTTGAGAAACTTAAAGCTTCCAACATTGCGTAAAACGTTAAATTCGACGTTCCAACGTATGACAAATAGATGTTTAACTTCCCTGGTGAATAGTTTATAAACCGTCATTGATAAAACTGTGATTATCACCATGACTGGTGTCTCTGTCAATGAGTCAATCGTTACAAATATGTCTCCGCCTGATAGTGTTTCTTTGTCAACAATTTATTCAAACAGTATTCATCATTTTGTAGTTTATTTTTTTAATTACTTGCTTATAAATATATAAGACCAAATGTTTAAATAAGAATTTAACTTTTAAAAAAAGGTTTAACATTTTAAATCTTCTTAAGTAAAGGTTTTAAGTTTTTAGAATGTTTTCAAACAAGAGTCCATGTTTGAGTAGAATATAAAACGTTAATCTTTATTTAAATAAATTATAAAATGTTAGACCATTATTTAAATAGATTTAAAAATGTTAAACTCTTATTTGACAATTTTAAAAAGTTAAACTCTTATTTGATAATTTTAGAAAATCAAAGTCTTATATGAGTAGACGAACCAAACGTTCATTGAATAGTTCATGAACTATCTAACGGAAAATTTATTTATGTTCATTTATTTATTAAATGAACGAACATGAATAATATTTTTTTCGTTTAATTAAATGAACAAATTTGAACAAATGGCTCGTTCGTTTATTTACGTTCATGAACGTTCGGTAATTCGTTCGTTTATGTTTGAGAATTAGTTCGTTTATGGTCAGTAATCCATTAGTTTAGGGTTGTTCATTTATTTATATTTATGTTTGTTTATTTATATTTTTTTAAAGAATTTTTACTTGATTTAAACTAAATTTGTATTTTATGTTCGTTCGTTTATTCATTTGCATTGTTCGCGTTCGTTCATCATTTAAACTAACATACATGAACGAACACAAACAAACGAGTACGAACAAGAAATCTTGTTTGTTTACAATCGTATGATTACCTCTAAAAACTTAATGACAACTATTTTAACATTTATATCATATATATTCTCTATGTTTTAATGTAAGGATTTGATCTTTCTCTTCTTCTCCCAAATATACATAGAGATAGAGATGAATATCAATGCATGACTTTATGTTAAGGATATAAATCTTTAAAAATTGTATTAAAAATTAAAGAAATATGAAATCATAAAAAAAAAGCATGAATCCAGTGGTTTCCGTGGTGTGAGTGTTCAATGTTAAGAGGTTGAGTAAGTTATCTTAAAACATATATTGCCTTGTACTTACCCACATATTAATCAAAAAAAAATTTCAAAAAATTTATAAAAAATAAATAAATTATATAGAAATTTAAAATTGTTAAGAAATGCAATTTTAAAAATGTATGAAAGAAATAATTTTACCTCTTATCTTTGGATAGTAGAACCACTCTAGATGTATGAAAGAAATAATTTTTTGGTATATCATGTACATTATATATTTTTATTTAATATACTAATAATATGAATTTTTAATTTCAGGTTAAAACATTATCAAAACTTATTAAGTGAATTTACTGTTAATCATCCTGATTTTATTTTACTTTTAATTAAAATTTTCAAAAGTAAAGTTCGTGATTCACGAACAGCAGTGAATATAGTTATTAATTAAAGAATATGATAAAAGAAAAAGAAAAAGAAATTGCTGTTTGGTCAATGACCGTCTCGTAACAATATTCTCCATGTTCACTCTATGGTATACACTGTGGGGTAATACCAGGTGGAGCCATGAAAATGACAAAACATAATGATGATAAAATGACGTAAAACCCATAGGATTATTATAATATGTTCATATTTCAAATTCGAATTCTATATGCATTTGAAATGCATCTGTCATGTTTATTGAGCTTAATACATTATATTTGTTAATAAGAACAAATTTGTTTAAATGATTATTGACGATTCATTCTTTTAAATTTGAACAAAAAATCACTATCAATGAAAAAACGATCGTAAAATATTATTTTCTCAAAAAAGAAATTGGTCATGAAGATGAAGAAGATAATTTAGAGATCGTAAAAGCTTCAATCTTTTTTATTGGGTTATTTATAAATCTTTATTGCATATGTTAGTCATAGCATAATTATGATTATTTATAAATTAACGAATTGGATAGATCTAATTGTTAGATCTTAAATTACATTACGATAGGACACATGAACATGCTAAGGGTATTGTTTATATATTATAGTTGGCTTAGGGATGGGTATGAGACCCGAACCCGTGAATTTCGACCTAATCAAATCCTATTAGGTCAATTTTTTTAAAAAAAAAAATAGGTTAAAGTAAGATCGGATAGGATTTTTTATAGATAATGTTTGGGTTTATCGTGATCAGGTTTAGGGTGAAAATATTTGACCCGATCTGACCCAAAAAAAATTGTAAATTTACCTTAAATATTTAGGATAATTGCAATAAGACCCCTCTACTCATTATATTTTAAATTAAATCTATTTTTTATTGAATAAAATTAATAATTTTTTTGAAATATATTATTTCAGATCGAGTCGGATTCAAATTTTATCTCAAAATGACAGGTCGAGTTTGGATCGAATAGAGGATATATAATTTTTGGGTCAGATTTGAATCGAATGGAGAATGTATAATTTTCAGATATGATCAAATTGACCGAAAATTCATCTTAACCAGACCGACACCCAACCCTAAGTTGGCTTGGAGGTATATGTTCGAAAGATGTAAACTTGTTGAAAACTATGGTAGGCAAAACAGTATGCCTCGAGATTTTCATAATTTTTTATATAAACAACTAATTTTATTCAAAATAGTAAATATCCCAAATTACAATAAAAAGTTACAATCACAATCGTAAATTAAGTATATAACTAGGAAAATTTCCTATAATCGTTGAAACAAAACTAACAACTTAAGATCGCATAAGAACCATACAAGGAAATATTAAATCTTACGAAGAAACTCAAACAAAGATAGATACAAACAGATCTGATTGCATCGGCAAACAAACTACAAAAGATGATCAAACTATTTAAAGACTACCGACAAACCGTAAATTAGACTCAAGCGACGTGAAAAGCTATCAACAAAAGCAAATCAGTATCTAAGTTCAATTTAAGGGTCCAAAGCAGGGAAGATCAACAAGATATCAGATAAGCGACATCTTGATCAATCGTGGCGATGTCAAATAAGAACCGAAAAACATGTCAAAAAACATAAGAAAACTTGCTACAAAGACATATGAAAATGTACAACACATACAGACTTATTGAAAATAAAATAAAAAATAAAGATACAATATAGAAAGAAAAAGACAATAAAGAATAATAACGGTAGGGGTGGGAATAGGCCAGGTCAGGTCAGGCTTTAATAGGCCTGAGCCTGGCCTGTAGCCTGTCAAAGGCTTTTATTTTGGCTCGGCCTGGCCTGTTTAAAAGTCTAGCCTGTTTCACAATAAACATTTAATATTTCCAGTTTAGTCACTAATTTTAGAGTAAAGTCCCTATTAAGTCACTCTAACTTAGCATATTTTACAAAGTAGTCACTTTAAATAGGCCGATCTATCATGCTTATAAGGCTTTTTAATAAGCCTAAGCTTGACCAATTTAATTTAATAGGCTTTTAGAAAGGTCCGAGTCTAGCCTTTTTATTAAATAGGTCAGGCCAGACTTTATGTAGGCCCCTGTAGGCCGGCTTGACCTATTCCCACCCTTAACTGGCGGTCAGCAACTAACATTAAAATTAGTGTCACCGCTGATCAACAAAGATGAAAAAAAAATATATGACCGATACACCAAAGAGAGAAAACTAGGTTTTTAGAGTAATAATATTATATTTTATATTATGTATTGAATTATATTTCAATAATTTTATTTTCGGGTTACGAAATCTTTTATCGGGGAACATAAGATAAATAGGATTCGATCCAAACTATGAAAGAGAGGTGATTCCATGGACGAGATATTTAGGCCAATAATTGGGACAACTCAAGCTCGAATATTGAATGAAAGATATTATCCGGCTCAACCTTTTGTCTCTAAGGTTTAATTCGGCTACTCTTCGTACGTGCTGGAATGAACATTGTATCTGCTGCAATTAGATTATTCTCCACCACTCCAAAATAACAAACGAAAATGAAAAAGAGAAATTCCTCCATTAAAATGCTTTGCATTCAAGCGTGCAATTTTGTCGGTATGCTCGCCGTAACCCTACCCCACAATTACGGGGGGGGAAAAAAGAAGAAAAAGTAAAAATCTTGGGTGAAAACATGGCCTTAAGAAAGGAACCCTTTGTGATAAACACCAGCACTTCCACCAACTTGTCATTATCATAAACCTATCTACAAAAGAGTGGCCCCTTAATTCCATTTCCAGCTCTCAAATCTCTTCATTTCGGGTTCCTACCCATAGCCGGAAACACCGAGAGGGAGAAAAAAGATGTGGCGTATGCTGGTGGCTTTGCGACGGAACCTTCAAAACATCAAGAAAAGCCACCGTGTAGCGGATGAGAACATGGTGGTCGGAGGTGGAGGGAACAATAATGGAGGCGAGATGCCGGGTTTCGTGGATAGGAGGTGGAATGGCCTTTCAGTGATTTGCAGCGTCGTAAGAGCTCCTTTTACACTGGTTTCTTGCTTCTCTCAACCCCACGTTAATGGCGCTGATGGAGTTTGGGTTTCCAGTCACGAATTTGCTCAAATCTCAGAGATGAATCATTTGATGGTAAGTGATAGCATGCGTTATGCAATCTTGATGTAAAAGATTAAAAGGGGGGGGGGAGAGGAAGGATTTTAGCTACTCCATTATAGAATTGTTTTCTCTTCGGATATTCATTTTCTTCTTCTTCTTAAACAACAGTCTTTGTTTGTCGTCGATACATACATATTTATATGTGTAGGTAAATAATTTCAGGGTTTACTCTCATACTTTGTCTTTGGATTGGGTATTTATATATATATATATACTCCGGTTTCTCGTGATTTCTTAATTTGTTTCATGAGATTACAAATCAAGTCCCCCCAAGATAGAAAAATATCGATAATCCCTAATCTTTATGCTCGAAACCATGGAATAATGGCGCTAAAGAATAAAATAAAAAGAGTAAGAGTTTGTGGTTTTCATTACAGAGCTTTGCCACTGCCGGGTATCAATGCTACAAGTAAATCATTAATAAATTGGGAAAAGAGAAGTTGGAATCATTTTGTTTTTTTATCTTTAAATTAATTAATAAAATTTATATAACAAAAAAGGAAACACACTGATTAAAGGTTAATTTTGAATGATGACAGCATCTCTTTGAATTAATTAGTAGGAGAGAATAAGCTTAATTAGTAGGAGATTTGCTTTGATTATACAGTACAAATAAAACAAGTCAGGTCGAATCAATTCTAAAACCTCGACCACGCCATTGATTCCCGAAGGCATATTTGAAGAAAAATAGACTTAAAAGTTGATTTTGTTTTATAAATATTATGTTTTCATTAGTGATGATCGACTAAGCTAATTAATTGATATTTTAATACAATAGAGTGTGCAACATCTGCATTCGGATATCCAGAATGAAAGTTGATGATACTGGTTTAAAGATGGGGAAATTAGGACATAATTAGGTTTTGTACTTTGCTTAGGACCATGAACTTTATAATTACCATTAGCTTTGTAGCACTACTATAATGTTTTCCTTAAGGGATATACACAGATTTGTTGGAATCTCCTGGAGCACAACTTTATCCCTTTATTTTCATTTCAATTAATGTCACCACCAGATTGAATAGAAAAATCATTTAATTAAATAATTTAAAATTCATAAATAAAATTTTCCAATCATGTATTAACACGTGTCACGTTCTAATTGGATAGTTAAATTTATTTAATTGAATTAAAAATAGTGACTAAATTGATAAAATATGTAAATATTAAGGACCAAATATAGAACTATGCCAATTTTATTAACGGACACGTCATCACCATCGTTAAAAAGTAACGGCTGGTGGCTTGATTGAAACATTTAAATAGTTGAGTGGTCTGATTGATTCAATTGAAACTTCGGTGGTCAAATTGATTTTTGACCATAGTTTAGTAATCTCTCGTGTAGTTTACCCTTATATTTATTAAATAAATTATATAAGATTTCACATAATTTGCAAAATTTAAATTAGTTAATATGCAAATTGTAGTTTTATTTGTTTTAATTTGATTATAAAAAGAACAGTATAAATATAATTTTCCTTGAATCTAATATTCATTAAGTTTTAAATTATACTTATTTTTAAAAAATGGACATAACATAATATATAGTCTCTAAAATCTTAAACTTGTTCTCTTTACAGGCATTTTTTCTCTCTCTCCAAACAAAACATTTTTCTTATATTTTCCTTGTTGCATTTATATAAGACAAATTTATATGAAATTTGTTTAATTGAATTTGCATTTTGGGTGATAAAAAATTGAGATTTTTACTATAAGAAAGGACAGAATAATTTGGAAGTGTAGGAAATATTATTTGAGGGGGCAAGGCAAATAGAAGAGAACAAAGAGGATGAGATTAACCTCCTCTATTCTTATTCTTATCGTGCCTCCTTTCAGATCTTAGTTTTTTGCAAAGATTTGACACTTGGGTTTGCTTTGATCGGTGGGTTTTTTCCCGATGAATCTGGATTTGTGTATTAAACCTTTTGCGTAAATTTGCAATTAATTTTTTACAGCTAATATCAGGTTTCTGATTGATCAACTATCTGGGTTTTGGTGTTTTGCCTCTTTCATTTCTGAAATCCAGGTGAAACTATTGACTGTGGAAGGATCTGTTTGTTTTTAGCTTTGAATCGGAGAGAAATTTTCATTGCGTATCGGATTACACGTTTTGTTAGATAAAAGGTATTGAATTCTATCTGCATTATTGTGATTAGATTGCTATAGTCAATAAAAGACATGATTTTGATTTGATATTGTTAATTTGATTCATGGAAAAGTGACATTTTGGTATTGGTTTTTGACTGGTTTATTGTTGTTGTTGCAATGGAATGTTCATATATTGCATTTTGATCCAGTAATGAATTTGACCGTTAAAGTTTGTATTTGGTTTAGATTTGAGGATGGTTTGGACTTTGTATTGATCAAACTAGTTTTTATGTAATACAGAGAAAGATGACTGAGAATGGTAAGCTATTTATTGGTGGAATATCTTGGGACACCAATGAAGAGCGCCTCAAGGAGTATTTCAGAAGTTTCGGTGAAGTGGTAGAGACAGTGATCATGAAGGATCGAACCACAGGGCGTGCTCGAGGTTTTGGTTTCATTGTTTTCTCCGACCCAGCCGTTGCTGAGAAAGTCATCAAGGAGAAACACAATATTGATGGCAGGATGGTAAGTTGTTGATCATTAAGTTTAAGCAAACATCTTTATATAAATGTTGTCCAATGTACTATTCATTGGAGCTATTAGTATACTGAAGTAAGAGGGGGGAAATTCAATTCCTTTTTTGGTTTTTGAAACTGATATTTAGTTGCAGGAATTCATATATTTTTGGTTCTGTGTCCAACTAAATTTCAAAAGTAAGCCGAGCGTAACAGTTTCATGCTTCCTCTTATTTATCTTTTTCCTTCACAAAGATAGTGGTTATATTTGTAATTTAGTATAATCATCTATATTGAGATGAAACAGTTTTTGCTCTAAAGGATTAATTTTCATCATTGAGTTACTCGTGCACAGGTTGAGGCAAAAAAGGCAGTTCTAGGGATGACCAGAACATTATGAGTAGAAGCACTAATAGCATCCAAGGATCACCTGGTCCAGGTCGCACAAGAAAGATTTTTGTTGGAGGTTTAGCATCTACAGTCACAGAGAGTGACTTTAAGAAATATTTTGATCAGTTTGGGAATATCACAGATGTTGTAGTGATGTATGATCACAACACTCAAAGGCCTAGGGGTTTCGGATTCATCACTTATGATTCAGAAGAGGCAGTGGATAAAGTGTTGCTAAAAAATTTCATGAATTGAATGGTAAAATGGTTGAGGTTAAACGAGCAGTTCCCAAAGAGTTATCGTCTGGCCCTGCTCGTAGTCCCCTTGGTGTATATAACTATGGTTTGACTAGGGCCAACAACTTTCTCAATGGTTACACTCAGGGGCATAATCCTAATAGCCTTGGAGCCTATGGACTTAGGATGGATGGTAGATATAGTCCAGTTGCTGGTGGTCAAAGCGGGTTTCCTCCTTTTGGTTCTGGTTTTGGAATGGGCATCAACTTTGAGCCAGGGTTGAACCCAAGTTTTGGAAACAGTGCAAATTTTAATAACTATGGACGAGGAATGAGCCCTTATTATATTGGTAATACGAATAGGTTTGGTAGTCCTATTGGGTATGATGGAAGTAATGGAGGTGGAGGTAGTACTTCCTTTTTCAGTTCAGTGACCCGGAATCTTTGGGGAAATGGAGGGCCCAGTTATAATGCAAATGCTGCTAGTTCCAGTGCCTATGCAGGATCCGGAAGTGGGAGTATAGGAGCAAGTTCCTTTGCAAATAGTGGAATTAATTGGAGTTCTCCAGTTTCCAGTCAAGGTGGAAGGAATAATGTCTCTAACAATAGTGTGAATTTTGGTTATGGAAGTGGGGATAATAGTTTCGGTTTGGGGACTGCAGGGTATGAGAGAAACATTGGGACTAATGTGGTGCCAACATCATCATATGCAGCATCAAATGGTGGTTATGATGGCGCCTTTGCAGCCGTTTATGGTGATGTTTCATTTTATGGGGGTACCAATGGGCCATCATCAACATCCGAGCGAGATGGTTCTGGTTCCTTTGGTTATGGACTTGGTAGTACCACTTCTGTTGTTCCGGGTAAAAGTTCTCCTGGTTATGTTGGTGGTTATAGTGTTAATAAGGGACAATCAAATAGAGGTAAGACTTTTTACTTGGCATCGCCTTAGTGTTATTTATTTTCATGGGAGTTCAGTAGCATAATCTTGTTGAGGTGTTATACAAGCATTACTAATCAAACTTAAAACCTTTCATATGAGGCTCCGCTAGCTTTTACTTCTTTCGGCTAGGCTTAAATTTTGCTGTATTCGTCTTAGTAATATAAATCTTCTTTTGGTAATATCTGCATGACTGGTTGCTAGTTTTAACCAGAATGTCAGTCAAGAGTGATAGACATCTTTTGAACGTGATGATCATATGTAACGTGTAACGGAAAGGTAAAGGTGCTGCCAATTCTAAAATACAATTACTTAAAACCTTCCGTTTAAAAACCTTCCGTCTTATTGGATGGTTTCAAGTAACTGTATTTTAGAATTGGTAGCACCTTTACCTTTCTGTTTTAGTAAGGAATGAATAAGAATTCTTGTTGATGGATTGGCAAGATATTCAGTTGTTGAAGTCTAATATTATATTTAATGGAGAGAGTACAAGTATCTTATAAGGACACATTTCTTCTGTCCTCTGCCTTCTGTAGTTCAGTTTCTAGTCATTCAATTTTTTTGTTCCCTTTTTTGATCTAGGTCGGTAAATCGATTGCTTTTGCTCTTTCTTCTTTGGTTTTCCCCTTGAAACATAACTAGTTGGTGGGTCTAATACCTACACAGCAATTTGCCTCTTGATTTAGATGTATCATGTTTCAAATCATAAAATAGATAATGATCTCAGAGAAGAAAGATGCCAGAAACAGAATGGCAAATACAAACGGGTAGAATTTTAACCTTGCACATTTAGATTTAGCACCGGTATTGACAGAGGGGCTTCACTCTTGTTTCTTGACTTGTCACTATCTTCTAAACTTTGCTTTCTGTATATTCGAGACCCCATAATTTGGTTAAAGTCTCTTCTGTCACTCATTCCTTTTTCTTTAATCTAAGTTCATGAGAACACGATGGTTACTACTTAATGAGTTAAGTGCACAGTTTTCCATTATCAAAAGGC